CGAGCACTGGACTGGGGCCCCAGCTATCCCAACCGTCATGACGGAAGCCACGAGATAGGAAAACGGTGACGCCCGCCACATGAATATCCAGAACTTAGGGAGGACATCTGGATTGGCAAGAACACTAGATCACAATGCCAAGTTAGCTGTCAATGTAGAGCACTAGGCTGTCGATTCCCCAAGGAATTTACATACCCACAAAAGATGAGACACAGTGAAAACATCATCTGAGCGATGTTGCTAGCGGTTTCCGGATGATCGATGCCTGCAATCATCATCGAGGTAAATGTGGATGTGAACAACATAAAGATCAAGACGAGAAGGAACATCGTGCCACCACGCTCTGTTACCGAGTCTGTCGGATAGGCGTTGCGGAAAAGGCCGATAGGATAATACCAGCAGAAGTATGCAGGTACGGCCATCAGCATGTTCCATGGGAGCTCAACGATTACACTTGCAAGCATGAATGCCTTCCATGAGTAGGCCTTCGACGGACGCTCCCGCACTTCGTATAAGGAGCGCTGCATCGCAAAATATGGCATCATTTGTTGAACCAAATTGGGGAAGATGATAAGCAGCATGAAGATGGAAAACATCTCATTTTGCATACCTTGCATACTGGTGGGCTCCCTCCAGAATGTGAAGCCGATAAACAAAGGCTAGTCTATGTGAGTGGCCCAAAATCAGGAATGAGCTTAAGGGGGAAGGGGGGAAGCTACCGGAATTGTACACATCGCGGCCTTAGCATAGATATATGATGGGCAGCGCCAGTATTGCTGAAACATTCGCTGGAGACAAATCAAGAACTGCGCCGGCAGTGGCATCGCAAACTCTCCATACCCAGCTGTTCGAGGGGGTTGCGGTCGTTGCAGAAGTTCCTGTTTCATCTGTAGTAGTTCCTGTTGTACGTGAGTACGCTCACGACTCTGTTTCCAAACCTCCGACCAGTCTTGGTCGGCCCGAGAGCCAGGGGCTGCGCCTATGACTTCGAGCATCCACTCAGCAGGGTTAGCATTTGATGGGCACTTCGCCGATCCTTTATCCTCAAAATACTTAATTAGGGTTCTCATGTTGGGGCCTAGATCGCCAAAATAGACAGTCTTGCCCCCTTTTGCTAAGAACAGGAGCCGATCGAACTGCTGCATCAAGATGGCCGAGGGTTGGTGGATTGTACATAGGATGGCTTGGCCATGATCGGCAAGCTTTCGCATGAGGGAGCAGATAGACCACGCAGTCTGGCTATCCAAGCCCGAGGTAGGCTCGTCAAAGAAGAGTAGAAGATCCGGTTTGGCTGCAATCTCGACTCCGATCGTCAGGCGCTTGCGCTGCTCCACGTTGAGACCCTCACCAAGAACCCCAACGACCGCCTCAGCATACTCTTCCATATTGAGCATCTTGATAACCTCCTCTACATATGCTAGCTTTTCCTTCCGTGGAGTACTCGCGGGTTGGCGGAGCAGGGCACTGAAAATAAGGGCCTCCCGAACAGTACTCGTCTCTAAATGCAGATCCTGCTGTTGAACATAGCCTGTTTTGCGCTGGAAAGAATCATCACGCATGCGCCCGTCCACTAGCATCTCACCAGTGATCACGCCCATAGTCACCCGATTGGCCAGAACATCGAGGAGAGAGGTTTTGCCAGCGCCGGTGACACCCATCAGGGCTGTGAGAGTCCCCGGTTTAACCCACCCATCAACGTGATCTAAGATTCGACGGTCCTGACCCTTGATTTTGATATCATAGCAGACGTCTTGCCAATGGAATATTGATGTTTGCTTGACAATGGCGCCGACATGATCATCCTGCTCATTGCCGACCTTCAGCTTCTCTGACGTGAGAACATCTTCTGGATCCGCTTCCCGATGCACCTTCCTTGCAAAAGCGGGTATTTTACCACGAGGGAAAACCAGGATCTCTCCTTTCGAGGGCTTCGCCCGCACAAGCTCACTGGCGACGATATACGCCAACAGCGAAAAGAAGAGGAATCCCAGAAGAATGCCGAAATTACGCCATAGGTGGGAGGGGTAGTATTCGAACGCCACTTCGAGGTACCGATCACCATCGATATAATCCTCGCCTGCCACAGCGCCCTTTCCGGAGCAAATCTTCGAGTCGAGAGGCGTATTCTCATACCCTGGACCGGAAGGCACATACGTTGCACATTTGAATTTACGGCCGGAGAACTCATTGATCATGAGGGATTCAAACGAGTACTATTTTCGCTGATTTTAGTAAAAATGCCCAACTCACCTGAGACGGTAATCCAGAAACTTACTGCTATTGGATTGAGATAATTGAGCCATCGAAACCAAGGGCGCATATCCCGAACCGGAATGGTAAACCCCGTGTAGATCATCAGAATCATCATAAAGATTGAAGCAGGAACTTCTGCCTGCGCCAAGGACCGAGAAATTGCAGCTATCCAGCGAAACACGTTGGACATGGTTAACGTTGTTGTCACGGAGAACAAGTAGAACACAAAGAAATGCCCCGGTGTCCGACGCAAGTTTGTCATAAAGTAAAGAATCAAGTTGAATACCACGGAAACTAGTGCTTTGGCTGGAAGGTCAACAATTAGGGAGCTGATTGCTTCAGCCGATGGATGGTAAAGTGCATATTTATCATGCTTTTCAACAATTGGTCGTTGTTGCCATAGAGTAAGCATCTCAAGGGCGCTGGCAAAGGCATTCAGCAATATTGCAAAGAACAACAATGCGCCCCGAGAGAAATAACTCTCCGTAGTATCGTCCAAGTTGTAGAAAACACTCGAAATGATTAGTGCTAGGATACTATTGCCGATTACCGTTGATAAGGTCATGCTCATATCACCCTTGAGACGTAGAAACCCTCGTTGAAGGCAAAGCCGGATCTGCATCCAATATGACAGGGTGTAAGGGGAGGCAGCCCTGGTGTGCTTGGCCTTCTCCGCGGCTCGAGAGCGACTGAATTCCTCTTTCTTGTGTCCACCTAAGGGGAACTCATTCTGAAATACTTCAATGTCTGTCAAGAGCTGTTTTCTTTCTAGACTGTCCCTCCATCGCGCTGCAAATTCATCTGGTGTACGAGGGACCAGGTGCTCATATCCCTTACGAACCAGCCTCTCCGTCGGACTGGTGAGGGATGTTAAGAAATCTCCAGTAGTCTGCCTTTCCGGACAGTCAAAGCCCATTTCGATAAAAAACCGTTTCGCGTCGCGGGCACCGCCGAAATATATCTGGCGGCCCTCGTAGAGAACAATGACTTTATCGAATACATCATAGATAGCCTGACTCGCCTGATAGATTGCCACGATAGCTGTGGATCCCGTGTAGTCCGTAGATAGACGTAAGTTTTTGACAAATTCGAGAGCAGTCGAACTGTCCAACCCGCGAGTGCTGTTGTCCCAGCATTGCAGGGGGCTTCCACATAGAGTAGTCTCCGCAATGCTAACCCTTTTGCGCTCACCTCCTGAGACGCCCCGAATAAACTCGTTTCCTACTCGTGTGTTCATGGTATGGCTCAGACCTAACATGGCCATGACAACGTCCCTCATATGTATCGCATATTGATCACGGCTCACACCAGGGAGTCTGTTTGCTGGTGCTCGGGCCCGTGCCGCAAAAAGAAGGGTGTCTCCCGCAGTGAGCTGTGGAAAGTGAATCTCTGTTTCAGCCTGGTACATCACCTCCCCCCGAAATCGACTATGCATTTCGTCCCATGAGATCCCCTGGTATTGAATGTCGGTTCCTTTGTCGAGCCACAACCCATGGGTTTCACCGGCGATGGTCTTCAGGAAGGTCGAGCAACCACTGCAGATATTTGAGTTAGTCCATTAATTGTGCTTGGTGGAGAAAAGACGCTTACCTCCCAGGTCGGCCCAGAACCACCAGCATTTCCCCACTGTTGACATAGCCTTCGAAGTTACGCAGAATATCGATTCGGACCTTGTTTCCATTGCCGAGAAGGCCACGGAGCCAACCCACTGCCTTGAGCCAGACATTTGATACGGTAGCCTGATAATCAGCCGCCGTTCCATAGCCGAATGCGTTGAGGTTGCGAAACGAGACTCCCGCAGTGCGACGGGGGTAGCGCTCAGGGTCACGCGAGGTTATGTGCAAGAGGTTCTTGGTCCACTTGCGAGAGTTGAATTGGTCCGACTTCGGGTCCAATTCGGGGTCACTGTTATTTAGAAACGGGTTGAGTCCCTCGGTGCCGCCATTTGTCTGGGAGATACGCGATAAGGTTCGTGCCAATGCAGTGATTTTGGTCTGTCCTTCTTGTTCGATGCCATCCTCTGAGTCAGCTTCAATTGTATCCGAGCTCTCTGCTCTGTCAACCGTGGACCCAGTGGTTCGGTCCACACGAGTATCTGTATGGCGATGCAATGAGCTTTCGCCTCCAGGCAGTGCCATGTTCGATGTCGCTGAAGGTTCAACGGACGTTGTAGGCGTTGAAGAAAGGCCCACAATGCTTCGTAGTGCAATCACAGAAGCTACACTGACAGCTTATCATAATACAACACGCGATACCAACACACAGTTCGAGAAATAGGGGGAGTACAGAGGGCAGAACGTGTACTCAGAGACTTAGAGACCCTGAGTTGAAAAGAGGCAGGAAGGAATCAAAGAAGGAAGGGACAACGACTCAAAACAAAAATAAGCAAGGCTGAGTAAACAACGGGAGGCAAAGTTTGACGCCATATAAGAAAGTATAGTGACACGGGAATAACGGAATACGGGAGAAACGACATCCGACCAGGAAAGCATAACACAGACAGAGGAGTGAAGATAGGGGATAGGAAACGACAGTAGCCGAGCCGGTCCATGGCCGAGAGATCATTGTACCATGTGCCTTTGTAACGTTTGGAAAGTGCGACTCTCAGGTCCTTGGCATGGGGAACCGATAGGCCGTTGCCGTTTGGGTCATGTTGACTGATGTGGTTACTAAGTCATGTGCAAGGATGCTCCCTGCGTAAGCTACGAGTACTAGTCTACTCCGGAATATGGCAGATCGATCTTTGTTCTCGAGTGGGTCGCAGCTTGATCAGCATAACGGTCTGATTCTGGTACTACTCTCTCGCCGGGTGATTAACTTCCTGATTGAGCAGAACCTTCCTAGACGACTCGGTACGTATTGCGTTCCGTCTCGGGATCTTTCCTTTTGTTTGCGCTGATTCATTGCTCCTCTATCCAGCTCAGGCCCCTTGTGTAAGGATGGCCTTGCAAGAACCGCAGGGAGCTACGAGTGTAAACGCGGCGCAACCCTGTCCAAACGTCTTTTCCCTGTTACATCAACGGTGGGATTTGTATGGTTCAAGTTGATATCCTACGTAAGAAAATAGACGCTCATTGGCTTCGTATAGGCCTCGTATTGGGGCCATCCCCACTCCAGACCCAGAATTGTTCCGGAGCTAAGTCATGTCGGGTTAATGCTGGTCACCGGGCTCCAGTTTGACACTGTCCTCGGTACCTTATTCTTGCCTTATATTGCAGGTCCCCACTGCGGTACAAACAATCGAAGCAAACGTCAACAACATGGTGCGTTGCTAAAGGGGAATACTACTAGTCGTATCGCTTAGATCCCATTACTTGTACTGCGACAACTCGAGAGAGAGCAGCTCTCGGGCAAGACTAAGGTAGTCACTTAGTAAGCCTGATGTTGTACCTTCTTCACATGGGTTGCATCCACCTCGTAACATTAAGTTTAAAAGCTCCGTTGAATGGGGTATTTTACATGCGGGGTATACGCGTAATTTATTTTTCTGTTCTTCTTTGTAGAAAATATTCGCAACGGTTGGTGGTTTCTCCTTAACTAGAAATCCGGATAGAGAGATACATATGCTCCCGAATCATAGTGCATTGCCCACGGGACGGATGTTTGACGCCTCCTTTGTTTAGCCCTTCATTGAGCCGTTAACCTTGTCCAAAAGCAAAAAGGCTGTATTTTATTTTGTACCCTGTAATAAGACCTACACTCTTATGCGGTCGCAAGACACTATGCATGTGCCTCAGGCTTACTCTGTCCATGTTTTTTAGCATCCTTGGTAATGGTGAAGTGACGTATCGGACTTCATCCATCCTGTTCGTGGGACTGGCCTAGAACATGCCGACTGCTACTAGTCTACTGTACCTTACCACCTTTTAAAGCATTCTATAGCCACGACAGCCAAACATGTCTCAGAAGAGCAAGACGGGTCTAAGCCGCCTTTACCAGATCCTGGAAGATGTACGGAAGATCAGGATCGAAGATGCAACGGGTATGCTCCTGAGAAGTGCATCCTGTAGCAAGGATACAAAAAAATGCAATATTTAACAGGCTTATCGAAGGAACTCTGTCATTAGGCAGCAGCAATCTCTTAAACAACCTTACGATTGCACAAGGAACCCTTCGTGATTACGGTCATTTCCGAGAATCTGACGCTCTGGCTGATATCCTTATTACATGTGCACAACCTCTCGAGCTGGGTGGGCTAGGTCTTACGGAACATACTGATCCTACAGAAGACCAAGAGTCGGAGGTTCTATTTCTGGTTTCAGCATGGTGGGAATCGCTGAATTCGGCAGACAGGGCCAAGTCATTTCCCGCGCCGCTGTCTGTCCGCCCTAAAGGCCGAAGGGGCATGACCCTGAGCGAGAAGATCTTCTCATTACACGATATTGATCGGCGGGGGTCAGTAGCTCCAGGCGACCTCATACGAGTTGATGTAGATTGGGTGATTGCATCCGAAGCCTCTTGGGCAGTAAGTGCATGATGAAGGTTTTCTTCTCCCCTTCAGCAATAGTGCACTCACAGGGCATTCCAGGGCATGGAGTCAACGTACAACCGACTCAGGAAGCCAGGAATCTTCCGTAATGACCGCTTCTGGCTCGCAGGAGATCATGTAGTTGATCCTCGGGTCAACAAGCTCCCAAAGGTTCAGGCATTGATCGATGCGAGTGAAAGAGCAAAGCGAGTGTTTAAGTTGACAGAATACCAAGGGATGAATGTTAGTTCTCTATTCAAACTCCAGTGTTCTACTAATAAGCGCATATAGTATACAATTCTCCACACAGAGTTCTATCGTGAACGAGCGCAGCCAGGCATGCTGATAGTAGGGTCGGACTCGCACACTTGTTCATCTGGAGCGCTTGGATGTCTGGCTATCGGTCTTGGTGCTGCGGATGTGACAATGCCACTGGTAACCGGAGAGACGTGGTTCAAAGTCCCAGAATCTATTGCAATCCGTCTGGTTGGAAAGCCCAACCTGGGGATTGGCGGGAAAGATATAATCCTTTTTATATTGCAACAATTGAAAAGGAATACCACGGCCTCGGACAGAATTGTGGAGTACAATGGACCTGGACTAGAATATTTGTCCTCTGACGCTCGGTTTGCAATATCGAACATGACAGCAGTATGAATCACATCACCCCCTAACCATGGAGCACACTTCTAACCTATACGGTAGGAGTTGGGTGGCATTACTGGAGTCTTCGTCCCGGATATCCTTACACAAAGCTTCATACAAAAGCGCAGAATTCCACGCCACAAGAGCGCAAGTATCTATATGAAGCCAGATGACGATGCGCAATACGTTGAAACTCACGAAATTGATCTCAGCAAAGTGCAATCCTTCATAGCAAAGTATCCTCGGCCGGATGATGTTGTTCCCGTTGTTGATTGTGAAGGCATGAAGTTGGACGGTTGCTTTATTGGAGCCTGCACCACTGCTGAAGAAGACCTCATACTAGCCGCCTTAGTACTTGAACAGGGTCTGAAAGGTGGACTGAGGCCATCAGTAAAAGGTAAGAGAAAGGTTGTCCCTGGATCAATGCCGATTCTACATCGACTACGTCAACTCAGCCTGGTCGAAGTGTACGAGGAAGCGGGATTTGATATCGGCATCCCTGGATGTAGCTACTGTGTTGGTATGTCTGCTGACCAGGCCGCTCCGGGTGAGATATGGTTATCATCGCAAAATCGGAACTTCGAGAATCGAATGGGAAAGGGTACAGTTCAAAACTGCGTGGCAAACTGCTCTTCTATATACTGATTTTCAAATCTAGGATCAATTGGACACCTCGGGTCTGCTGCTACCGTTGCTGCATCCTCGTTTGAGATGAGGGTTACTGATCCTACCTATCTCCTGGATGCCATCGACACAGAGCAATGGGACAAGCTTCGACGACATAGAGCTTCTATTGTTCCAGAAGATGCCTGGACCCAGAATGTAGAATATATGGAACCCAGCGAGCCTTCGAGGCCTTGCTGTGAAATCCAGAACAAGGAACCAACCATTAGAAGCATACCGGCTGCACCACCGGCTGTGAAGCATGAGGCTCTGACCGGAAAGGTTCAACTCCTTGGAGATTTTATAGATACAGATGCTGTAAGTCGTCGACTTCTAAGGAGGATCAGATAAGCACCGTGGATTAACAGCTTCTCAAGCTTGCACCAGCTGAGTTCTTGGTCGATATGGCAACTAATGAGGCAGCTGGAGAGTATTGTTTGCAATATACACACCCTAAGTTCCGTGACCGCGTTAAAAAGGGTTTTAATGTTGTGGTTGCCGGCAAGGCCTTTGGCTGTGGGTCATCTAGGGAACAGGCTGTCATGGCATTGCTGGGTATGACACCCCTTATAATTTCATCTCCCATCGTTCATTTTCCCTTATTTTCTAACTCACATTTCTCAGGGTGTGGTATTAAATGTGTGATTGCCGAAAGCTTCGCTTTCATCTTTCAGCGCAACATGCCAAACCTTGGACTCCTTGGCATTACTATAGCAGAGAAATCATTCCATGCAGCCGTCGAGGATGGGGCTGAGATCGCAATTGACTTCGACGATGGCATTATCAACATGGATGGAAGAACATTCAGGTTTAATCTCAGTCCAATGGAGAGAGGGCTCTTTCATCATGGTGGTATTGCCTCCGCCTTTAGAAAGTTTGGTAATAACTTGTTTGAAGCGATGATGGAGGGAAAGGGTCTGACGGCTGGTCATGGCATTGTAAATCATGTTGATTCACGCCCCGAGCTGCAGTGGTAGGAGTCTGAATAAGGTGCCTATTCGTATATTCATAGGCGTTTGTGGAGAGATGTTTAATCTTTATGTCTTCTAATATTTGCAAACCCAACGAGATTGTATCAACCAAGGTCAAGCCCTCTAATGACGCATGACATTGAATGGCTGTTCTCATTTACGTATTGTCTATGTCTTTTGTCAGCAGGCCTTATTTGCTCCATGATGCATAGCCACAGGAGTGGCCGGTACCGGGCCGTTCCAGCTTCAAGTCAATTGTTCCTTCCGGTTCTTGATTTTCTCACCGGTGCTTCTTTTCTACTAATAAAACCTTCACCAGTCACCTATAGGTTTCATGATTGATCCCTCTGTACTGCTACCAGTGTTCCTGATTTAAATCTACTCTTACCCTCTCCGGGGTCGTCAATAGTCAGCACGATGGCAGGAATTCTTCTCTATTTACAGTATTTTCTGGGTCGGCTTCTCTACCGCATTCGTGGCCATGATGCTGGACAGATCATCAGGACTGCAGCCTTCGAGAACCTCCCACTGTCCAATATGCAGTTGGAAGCCACGGAATGCGGACCGTCCGGCTCACCGATGCTACCACACCACACTTGTTTAGCTGCCGATAAGAATGGTAGCTTCCCGGAACTCCGCTGGACTCCTCCGAAGAAGGTCGAAGTCAAAGAGTATATCCTGATCTCCGAGGATATCGACCCGCCCATTCCTCGCTTCGTTGTCATGCATGGGCTGTTCTATGCCATTCCACCTACGATTACGGGTGTGCTTCCAGACGACACCGAGCAAGACACCAACACAAAAGAGCATGTTACTCGGTCTGGCTGGAGATATGTCCCCAATCTTCTTGGAAGCTCATACGTCGGACCTGCCCCGCCCTTAGGACACGGCGCTCATCGATACATCTTTACCGTCGTTGCCCTCGGCGAGTCCCTTCGGTTCGATCGTTTGCAAGGAGTCAGCCAAAAGCAGATTACAAAAGCAATGATTGGCAAAGTCGTCGGATGGGGCCAGTGGATTGGGCACTTCGAACGCCCCTGGCCTAGTTAGACGGTACTTGTCATAGTATTCCGCGGATCCCCATGCCACGGGTCCTACAATCACTTGGACAATCTCATGGACGAAGAGAAGGAGCATATGCTGTTAGAAAAGTGGGATCTGGGACGATACGATGAAGTGGTATGCGTTTGTTTCTTGTACTATCCTTCTCATTACTTCTACATTACTTAATAATGCCATTACCATAACCGGAAGAGACTAGCCTCGAATCGCGTCAGCAATGCCTTCCAGAATGATACGTTTGGTACGATGATCAGACAAGGTGACTGCCCCTTGGTATTTCTTTAGCCCACTGGTGCAATTAGCTTATCATACATGGACATGAAATGCATTACGTACGTTGCTCGACTTTTATCTGGTCCAAGAATGCCACGAACCGGTGCATGGTTGACTGGATGGACGACTCGTACGCCCGCAGCGTGGCCGTCCCAGCTCGGTGTACCTGGGTATTGTCCGTCGAAAGCGTTCGGAGGATGCCCTGAAGGGCCTCTAGTAGGCTGAGAAGCCTCATAGAATTGCGACACAGAAGGGTTCGAACTAACATCCCCGTCTCGGCTTCGTCCAAATCTGTTTCCCCCAGCTGCACCTTGCTTCGAATGCAAATAAAGTGGGGCAGAGGCTGCTCAAATGCCAGGATGCTCGCGTCGAAGAGACAGTTCTTGTAGGTGATGCTGTATGCTGAGCATACAGCCTCAAACAACGAAAGACAATGATCGGCGAGGGCCGGGATGGTTAAGACGGAGGAAGACTGTGGCGGAACTTTGCGACAATCTTTGCAATTCAGCATAGCTTGTCCTTGTCTATAGACGCGCTGGACCAAGTCCAGTATCGTTTCAAACTCCACGACCGTGTCTACATTCTGGATCTCCGTCAAAATTTGCAAGGCATCGATTGAACACCTACAGCTGCTTTCGGGTTCCATCTGTGGGAGGCAGTTACAGTGGACTCGTCCCCAAACTTGTCGTTGCCAAACAAAGTTAATGTCGCGCGTCAGAAAGCTCAAAGGTCGTCTGGTAGATGCTCACCCTACATACCTCAGGGTGTCGATTTCCCAGTTGTGTGAATCGGTAGTCTACCACGCACCTGTTACTGTATCGGGAAAAAGGGGCACGCCAACCTAAAGCTTGAATACCCTTCAAGTTATTTTTCAATTACAAGGGTGCACATAACCCTCAATTACTCCAATAGGAATACGACTTTCTATTGTATATGTGATTGTTCACTTGATAGCCGCCTCACGTTTCGTCAACTCGAAGTCAACGAGGGAGCTCTGTTGGTCCGTTCGCTAAGGAGCCAGTTCGTCGTGGCACACTCACATCCTAAGACCCGTAAAAGGGTCACACAGCAGTTGACAGTGGAAAGCAATAGTTCCCAACTATCATACCCTCCGAGTAGCAGTCGATCCGGACTAGTGTCTACGCACCTACCATTTGCATCCAAAAAGCAGTGTCATTCAAAAGACCGGGCATGGCCGCATATACGGCGAATGGCCTGAATGGTACCATCAGAGCGCGATCATTTATGGATTATGTTGGGGAGTGAAATGGAATGCACAGGTACGCAGGCACAGATAAAGTGATTATCATTACATGTAGATATGAGCTATATTAAGGTTTTACCTCCAGGTATTGTACCCTTTCAACGTCTCGCCGGCAGTTTCATTTTCGTCATAACCAACTGTACCCTTCGATTCGTCTCTGTAATCATGCTCAACCTTCCCCATGATGACGGAAGAGCTAATATCTCCTCAGTACAGCGCTGTATCCGACCGATAATACTTGACAACCCGCAAAGTCGCGCGTGCAAAACTTGCTTCACAAAAGTAAACTTCTCTTCTGATGGGACGGGGAAACCTCCGACTAACAATGGACATTCCTCCACCTGTGCTTTGAAGTGAAAGCTTGCGTTTTTGTACCGACGATTGGCAGCCCCATTCAAACTCGCCTGTCCATATTCCCGAAGGCGACTCTCGTGATACTCGACAAATACGCCATCCCAAACACCACCGTCAACGGACGTGATTGTTTCGAGTGCGGTTACTAGACTGTCGATGCTAACAACGACTATCATGAGCAAGTTTACCCGTGTTTTGCAGCAAATGGCGCATTCGAGGATGGTATCGGTTAACTGCTGTAGGATCTGCTGACATTTCAAGATTGAGTCAATTGTGACTGTTGGCCATGTGCGAGAAGCGCTGATATTGAGCAGCATCAAATCTCGAGCAATATGATCATGGCACTGACACTGATATTGGCGGGCTGTAATAGTCGTGGCGAACCCTGGACCCTCCGATGAGTGATTATATTCGTGGGTGCGTCGTTGCCCCTTGCTTGTAATTAGTGGGTTCAGATGCTCGCTGGCGGTAGGCAATCTAGCAGAATCACTCTCTGTTGAAGACGGTACAGTCTGTGGCCAAGCTATCGAATCCCTTTTAAGAAACGCTGTATAAGGGGACGCTATATCCGCCATTGCCTGCGCACTTTCAGTCGTTGGCTCACTGTAGGCCGAGAGGCCACTTGCTGGTGGATAGTACGCGCCCAATGGCACCTGATCCTGCAGCTCGAAGGAAGCCATGTCGACTGTCCCCGTAGAGCCGGTGAGATCTTTTGTGCTTGATGGAAGCGCTGTAAGACCAGTGTCGGTATTATTTATACCAAGAGCATCGAGAAAGTTGCGGTCCTGCGCCAAGTCGGCTGACTGTCCAGATATAAACTCCTGTAGCCAGTTGTCGGACAGATCTATGCTATCGGAACCTGGATAACACAAACCGATCATCCATGTTAGCCTCCCTCCCGTATAGGGGATGTAAAACGAACCCTCATAGAGTGATAATTTGTCTGTGTCTAGGAATGGTGGGGTTGGTAGGCGTGTATCCTCTGTAGACATATCATCTACAATAGAGTCGTTGAAGGTGATTTCGTCCAGGATCACCTCCTCGTCATCCTGGGGACTTGCTATATCATGGCCACCTCTCTGCCCCGAGTCCCGCTTGACCTTCCTCTTCCTGGGACTCCGAACTCGTCGATTGGTCTGGTGACGAGGGTGATCTGAGATTCCACAATCGAGCGAATCGTCCTGCGCACTGTCTCTCTTCTTTGCGGGTCTTCCTAAGCGTCGGGACATGCTGTAGATACAATCTATATTGTGCTTTTGACATCGGCGACACGATGGCCTCTCGTGACTACAACGGATTTTGGCTTGCTGACAAGCATTGCAAGTAGAGCGGACTTTGACGCTTTTGGGGAGAGGGTCGGGAATCATTCTGGACGACCTATCTCGATTCATGGCGACGACTGGGCACAACACCGTGTTTGGATCGATGAGCTACCCTTGGGCCTTCTGTCCGGCATGCTATATACCGGCCGATCAATTTCTTTGCAAGGTACCAGTCCATCCCATTGCTACCTTCTCCACGGCGCCCCCAGGCATCAATAGGCTCGAAGTTCAGCACCAAGGTAGCAATGAGATGCAGTTCATTCCTTATCCAGGTTACATTATCCAGGTTCCACGACCCATCGGCAGTTCCAGGTATTTGGAATTCATCATAGCCGTAGCGTCCCTACGCCTAGCTGCCTCACCGTGGTGTGATTAAAACACGCTGTTTGAATTGCCAAGCCTTGCGGTTCAGCTTCGTGGACCGAGTGCTACTGTGATCAAAAGCTAGTGCACAAGTCACTACAGGTCAATCTGCCTATCGCCTGAACTCCACCGTCACGAGGAGCTGCTGCATCCACCCTTGGGCCCTTGTCTAGACCCTGTCGTCCTACATCACAACCTGCAGGTTCCCTCCCATCTCACATGCCTTCGTCCCGGCCGAACCCGTGGGATCTGCCCCCTCGCACAGAATAGACCGTAGCCACGTCGTCGTCGGACTAGCCGTAGCCGTCGGCTTCATCACAGGCCCATCGTACTCCACCACGAAATAGTTCCCGGCCACTGGCGCACCAAGCCTAGCGACGGCTACGAACTGGTGAATGTCGAAGCCCGCTCTCGCCTCTGCCGTCGGCGGGAAGATGTGGGAATAGCACTTCGGGAATTGGAAATCCGGCTTTTGGACGAAGAGGAGCTGCACATAGCGATGGTGCGAGAAGGGCGGTGGTCGTGGAGCGATGTATTCGGCTCCCATGCTCTGGTTGACCAGGATGCCGCCATTGGAATACCCGTCTGTTCGCTCCAATATTCGATTCCCATGACATATATCCATCTCGCTGCTGCGCTGCATAGCGCAAACCATGTCAGGTTGGTACCAGTGTAATGCGACTGTTGCGTTCATGTCGTAGACAACGTCCAGATCAAAGAACAGAAGGACATAGGTCAGTTTGGGATTGAGTCCGCGCGTGCTTATTATGGGTAAGTCTGCTGTTCCTGGTTTGGGCATTATCTATTAGAGATTATGGAAATTATGAGGGTGGGAATAGTGGAGTAAGAGATATACTAGATTTTAAATCGTATCCCCGGGATATATCCACGATGTCTTAGGATATCGCAAATGCAAGATCGCGATATCTGGAGGCAATGGACTTATTTGGGCTACTGCACCAGTCCAGAGAAGGTATAAGAGAATGCATAACATTGTTCCTAACGTATGATAAATCCCTATAGCCTGAAAGAAACGAACGAGTATACCGGACTTCACAACGCTGTTATAGTTGCTCTCTTACCTCCTGCCATATCAGACCGAAGACACGATGTGTAACGTTGAAGCCACGGCAATTAATCATAACGAACAAGACAGTTGATCTGTGCTTTGGGGTAATGACCACCTAGAAATATTGGAAAAATCATAAACCACGAATAGGACATAGAGAAGGAAAGCGAGAAGGAGATGGCGAGGCGTACAAGATCAGATCGAATCTGAGCAAACACCAACAATCAGGCCCCGGGGATTGGGCTGTGCTGCACAAATAGTGCTAGGTAACTATACACTATCATTTCTTCCTCCACTGTAAGCCCCATGTCCACACCATCCATAACAAAGGGACGACGCTTAGTACGACCACTGCCACGCCACAATATGTTGCCCTGGCGCCCCAGCGCTGGATACAGGGGTGTACAAGGGCTGTTGCTGCTGCGCCTAGGGAGCATCGGACGAGGTTATTTGTCGCCATTATTGTTGCTGGTGTTGTGTAGTGGAGGTCCACGAGAAGGATGTTTAGGATGTTGTACGTGGCTGTTAGGGTGAAAGATATAGTAAAAATCAGTGTTAGGGTTAGCGTGAGGGGTGGTGGATTGGTTGTTGACGTTGTGAGGGCGTAGAGGAGGATCGGGAGGGGAGCTATGAGCTTTCTTCATATTAGAATATAATGACAGGCGTGGTCTGAACACGAGGCCTTATGGGGGTGTATGTGCATACAGCTATCGGTCCCCCAACTCCCAATCGAGCCCTCTCGACATCAGAGTAGTCCATGTCCTGCCTGTCCTTTGCCATCATTCGCCGGTAATTCCAGTCTACGATTATCCCGTTGAATGTCGCGCTTAGGAGGGTGCCGGCGCCCATTGGGAAGAAGCTTAAGCCGATATTCAAGTCACTTAGCCCATAGATAGATCTGAGCTGGGAAGGTAGACCGGCTGTTATGGCGTAGTAGCTTGCAAAGACAAGGCCGTTGGATATGAGGATGAGGCTAGTTGGGAGGTGGAAGAGAAGAGAAATTGTAGATAGGGGGCTGATCCTCTTTTTCGGTAGTTGTTTTTGGAGGACCGGTCCTGGGTTGGTAGGGGGAGTAGTAATAGGCTCTCTGTAGGAACGTTTAGAGATCCACCAATTGAGGATAGATTTGTTCCATCTTGATCCCGGGATTGAGCCGTCTCCAACAATGGTCCGACATGTTTCTGGAAAGAATAGTACGAGAGGGATGAAGAAGATGGTGGATGACATTGCTAGGAACCAGAATATGTATTGCCATCCTAGATACTCGCTCAAAACACCACCTATGAGAGGCCCTAGTGATGGTGCAAGGATATTCCCTAGGGAGGTAATGCTCATATATGTTCCCCGTTCGGCGGAGGTGATGATATCAGCAGCGATGGCCGATGCTAAGGCCACAGTGCCACTGCTGCCACTGCTCTGGACCGCGCGAAGGACCAGAAGCATGGGATAACTGCGTTGTAGGGCTAGGGCAATGTTGCTTGTTATATAGATCAAAAAGCAGATGATGTAGGCCGGGCGGCGGCCAGCTTGGTCTGCGAACGAGCCTGTGAGGGTTGGTGCTAAGCCTTGACATATCTGCATGTATTGTAGGTTTGAGTAAAGACGAAACTCCTCAGTGGGTACTGGTGAGAAGGATGAAGTACCATGTATGTGGTTATAGTTAAGTTGATTTGAGAACTGGTTACATCCAGATCGGCAGCTATAGAATTGAGGGCTGGGTAGTAGATGTTAGCCGAGATAGGGGAGAACGTCGACGCTATGGCTGCTGTCAGAATGATTAGCCGCTTTTGTCTGGTAGTGAAGACTGAATATCGCTCTGCTCCAGGATGAGATTGTAAAAGGGGTGTGGTTTCGGTAGGTGGCCTTTCTACCAAGGCTCCCTGGCTGTTGGTCATCTCGCCTTGGCTCTTCTTTGGCATGAAGGCGTATGTCTATTGAGGATTCATGGGGTCTACTATATACAGTAACTATCGTGCAAAGGCTTTCGCTTCAAGCGCCATCATAAAGCTTGTTGAGTACCTGGTTCATTGGATTGCATTCTCTTGTGCTAAACTGGCAGAAGCCTCAAAGCATAAACCCTTCTGAGAAGCAATCATGTTACTGTGTGGTAGACAAAGGTAATCCTTACAGCTCATACACTTAAATCTTTGACAATGGCTTGTTATCCTCCGTTTCACCAGTGTATACGTGTGATGGTCGAAACAGCTTGCCGTGTGTCACTGCCATGAGTTAGAATGCTCCGTTATCTCACCGCAATCAGCACATACACATGTATTCCCGCCAATGGGCCATTAACCCTATTATACGCTGTGTCAACATAGCAGCTGGAATCATATCTGGGTCGAAGCCACTAATCACTGGTCAGCTGCCATGGCGTAATTCATCTGTGGAACCCGTAGCGTACATCGCGGTGAAGACAAAGTTACCATAAAAGTCAGCATTAGGGTACAGACCTCTGCGGCAGAAATACTCGTCCGCTGAGGCTATTTCCTCTATGCGTTCGGCTATTTTCAAATGATTATTCGATGATAAGTCCAGGTCCTTCAGGATTGACTGGATTGGACGAACTCTGGGATCATGACCCTTGTATGAGCGATGTCCATATCCAAAGAGCTTCGTTCGCCCGGCCTTTACGTCCTCGATAAACTCGGGAACCTTGTCTGTGCTTCCGATCTCTCGGAGCGTACGCTGGGCAGACACAGTAGCACCAAAGTGCAGGGGCCCATATGCGGCTGCTACCGCACTGATCAAGCAGGAGATAGGATCCGTCAACGAGGATGCTGTCACTAATGTTGCGAATGCAGCCAGAGCCATGCCATGGTCGGCATTCAGCATGGCAAAGCGCCGGAAACACGACAGCTTAACTGGATCTGGGCGACTGGAAGTCTGATCCACCAGCCCAGCCATAGTAAATAAATTCTCGCAGAAGCTATTCTCCGGCGATGGCGGTTGGAAATCAATGCCCTTCCGATGACTATTTACCAGACCAAAAATAACACCATATGCGGCTACAGTTCGGATAACCGCATGATCGACATTATGCAGGTTTCCTTGGTAAAGATTCGCATGTGTTGATGCGGGAATTGTGTCTGGAAAGCACGCCAGATATGCCGAGAGCCCAGCCAGGATCAGCGGCAATGGAGATGTTGCCCGGCTATAGGCTCAGGGTCAGTCATTGAACAAGGCCATAATCACAAGTGCCCTTACGGAAGTTCTCGGATTGTTCGATGCACACTTTCCGGGACAGTTAGCATCTGGTGTGCAAGCTTTCGGTTTAAATCTTTCTTCTGCTGCCGTGTTGGATATGTGCCCCAAACGAGTAGATGCAACATGTCCTCGAAGTCGCTGTCCCATAACTGGGCCAGGGTGTAACCGCGAAAGAGAAGCACGCCTCTTTCATGATCACTACACACGTCAGTCTGTGCACTGTCTCGTCATGTTCTTTGTCGTACGAATAACTTATAGCTGACTCTATCACCGTTGTATTCTGTAGCCCTGGATCGTGCACCCGCAGCCCACCAGCCACATGATCTGCTCGGTCTGTACCAGCTCCTGGTGCCTTGATACTCTTGAGATCAGTTGCAAACACCACATTTCGCCTGATCGGAATTTCGTACTTCTGCTTCGTCCGAGAGTCGGTGATATGAAGGATCCCTGACGGCATTGGAGGTTGCGGCGGCCTTTGACACATGCAGTAACGAAACTCACCAGGTTTCAAGGGCGATCTTCACTCTCAAGTTATGCACAAGAAGCTTCGTACATCCGAGTGACAATCGTCTTCTCGAGAACGCGGGAGTCATCCACTTTATAGGTTGCCATATATACTGCCACACATTCTTCCGTCGCTGGCCAAATATTTTCTGTCAGTAGCGGGTGGTATTCTGAGACGGTACCAAATGAATAGCCTTGCCAAGCAACCGGGAGATTTTCCGTCACTCCCACAAGTCCAGTATATCGCCGGTCGAATATTGGTGGAACTAACCCATTTCTGAACCCAAGACTTGGCGTAGCCTTGATATTCAGGAACTGTCAGAATTTGAAAGGGTAGGGAGCATACAGTTCAATTTTCTTTCAATGAAAAGTGGCTTGAACATGACAGCTAACTATTACAGTCCACCGATCAGACCTGGGATTTGGCGGTGCATGTACGCAGCATACTAAGTTATACAGAGTGCAAATATCAAAATTGCCATCAGAGTTTCATTCATTAGATAGGTCATACACTATGTATCGTCAAGACTATTGTGTCCACTGGAAATCATTCATTTTCCATGGAGCATTTATTGCGTTGGCATGTGCTCGAAAGGCTTCGCGAGATGCTCCTGGCAGAAAGGAAGCTTGCTGGCGGTCCAGATTTCGGTGTCCTAAACAGACATCTCGCGTTAGCTGAGGAAGCAAAGGGCAGCCTATCCTGTCATAAGGATATCGGGGACTCGTACAGGCTTCAGGTTCTTCTTGATCTCCACATCAAGGGTTCCGGCCTTCAGGGCGATGATCTCTGGGGCAGCTTCGGGGTCATGGGCAATAGGGGAGCCACACTCCGAACAGAAAATTCGGTGAACTGGGTGGCCTGAAGATCCAGTTCCTGCGTAGCTCTTGGTGGGTCCATTGATCTTTAAATTGTTCTTAAGAACGACCGCGACGAGAGCTGTGAAGCGAGAGATATTAGCCCATGGTCTGGTGTGGCTTATATTATGATAGACACCGAGGATGGGTGCTGCAAACACGATCACACATACAATACGTTGATCCACTCTGACGCTGACAATCGTCGCAGTGGTCGTACGCGGTTATGAGCGGCTCGTCTTGGTTAACCGTGTAGGTGACGGCTTTGCAGAGACAGTGGCCGGACAAAGGCATTCTGACGTCACAAATCGGATCGGGCTAAAGTTGATTGGGGTACGGAGTAGAGTCAGGCGAACAAGGTGCTCATGAGTTGGGGACCTTCGAGGAATGATGGCACCTCGGGGGGTATTTATAACCCTCCATGGTCCCCCGGTCATTCACCTGAATCTCGATTCGGGGAAAGGAAACCAACTCTTGCTCAGCCGTGGGTGGCATTGCTACATTGGGTGGGAAAGAAAGAATCCACTGGTAGGGGTATTTGTCATTGCGGTTGAACCAAGTGGAGGGAGGGGGGAAGCAAGGTGAATCAATCGCTGGGAATGAATCCAAATGGATGGAAGAGGGCGATGAGGGGCAAAGCTGAAGGGAGGGTCTTTGCGTCACGGGTTGAACTCTGCTGGAATTGGCCAGTCGGTCACGTTCTCTCGGGTTCCACCAAACTAACTCTTTACCTCTTTCTTTCTCTCTCTTCTCGCTTTGTTATGTGTGTACGGAGTACTTCGGGCTCCCTCAACTCACTCAATTGTCGTCGGCAGAACGAATCCCTTCCTGCGTTTGTAAACTTTGCATCTCCCTCAATCTAATCCCCATCAATTGAACAATACAATCCTCCCAGAGCAACTTTCGGGCCATGACAATCCCCACATCTCAGCTATGTACATTGCAAACCCCTCCATAATCCACTAATCCATTTGATCTGCAACATACCCCACTCGGAAGGAGCTTAGATCATGATTATTTGATGGCTGATTCTGATAGTACACAGTCGGTAGTACCGAACGAGCCACTTCAGCCGGTCGCAAACCTTGATCCAGAGACTATCTTAAGCCAATCCCTTTCCCTTTATGCAAGAATTTGTCATTTTGGATCCCGAGAGCGGCCGAACGGATCTCCAACATGGCTCGGCTAATGAACACGTCTCTGCCCTTTTCTCTACAGTTTTCGTTCGGCGGGGTCTAATGTATGTACATGGACTAACGCGGTGAGAAACACACGGATCGTCAGTCCAGGCCCGCTGTCACATCACAGTAGGCTTTCATTAGCTGCATATCATGCAATGCCCCTCTATGCGGTCTTAAAAATGAAGTACCCATCTAATCAACATAATTCAGGGGGGTTATCCAAGATTCTCTCACACTCACTAGGGATTCTCCGGCCCCTCCCCTGCGCTTTAGAGAGCAATGGACGTCATCCCTTTGGGCATCTACCATTTGCCCTTTCGTTCTGAGTCATTAAAGATAGATTTGGCGGGTTTCCGTTGCCATTACCCGTGCTTGATAGAACCATCTTATGTGACCAACGATCTTGTACTTCTTTGATCAACTCAGTTGCGGGGTCATAGTTCGTCGCCGGGCCCCTGTAAATATAGGTCAGCTTTCCTTGTCGTTGTTTGACTGTCTGACAGGAAGCTTCTTTGCATCTCACTCCAAGATGCTGTATAAAGAGAGGTGAGAGATCATCCACCAGCGGTACCATTCGGATTACCTGTACCATACACAACGTTCGCTGTGACTCGCCCATGCCCATATCTCAACGGATCTACAGGATTTAGAGGCGCGTGGGAGAACACTGCAGCAAGTACAGCTATGACCCTATACGTTCTGGGTGGCTGACGCTATGAGAAGCTCGTATGATTATCCCAGTCAGTATTCGGAGACAGTCATTAGACTGCCAGTTGTATAGGCCGCGATTGCAGATCCTAGCGAACTCAGCTGGTCAAATGTAAACCGTAAACAGATGGAGACATGTCTCTTGTTAATAGTATATGTCATATTGCTCCACTCTACTAACTAGTTCCTTCCAAAACTCAAAGCTTCTTCTTAGGGCAGTGTCCAATGCTATCTAATTGATTAGGGACTTTGAAAAATGGCAAATCCTTCTAGCTGCAGGTGTTGGCCCGAATCTTCTTACTTCCAACCTCAGGGTCAGCTAACATTCAATCTAAACACTGCGTCGTCTCAGGGTCAATAACTCCATCGTCTACAGCAAGGTCAGCTTGTACGCCAGAGGAGAATGCTGAACAGATCCATGCAGCAGGGACCGCTCACGTCTATCGGAATTAACAGACCACCTTGGGGTTCTAGTGCTCCACGAGGTATCCCCATAAGATCGTTTTAATTAGCATTAGGACGAGATTTAGAGCTCATGAGATCTAAACTGTTCAGGGCACGGCCCTAGGCTGTTTGTCAAAAGCTAAATTGATCGATGTCTATTATCGGAGGTATTACCTCTAACACCTGCCCCTGTTTGACACCCTCAGGTGTAGTATCGCTTGGCAGCTTGCGCAGTAGAGCTTCCTTACCATTCAAGTTATTCTACTTCACCCCGGGGTTTTGGATGGTCACTAAAACGAGTGTGAATGTTTATTCGTATTATCCGACGCCCCCTGACGGGTTGATCCCCTGTTATTTCCCCTCCTGCTTGGGATATTATGACAGCTGCTTCGCCATTAATATCTATTCAATGTCTGAGGCACATTTCGATTCATAAATCGATGGCAAGTTGTCATTCATATGGAACAGCAGAACTGCTTTGGGCAATCAAGATGGAACTGGTTTTCATCTCCTCTAATTTCTTGTATATTAATTGTATATATTATAACCCCCCATGTTCTCCCCGCTGATATCATTCTGAATGCATTCGCCGCGACATGGATCCGCTTCTCGGGCTTAAGGTTATTTACCATAAAGAGGAACCATTGTTGTTTCGCTTGCCACAGACAATTAGTTCTTACAGGCTTTGGAAGTGTTGACTGGTCTTCTAGATACATGGAACCATATGCATTGCAGTCGAGCACTGATACTTCCAATAATCGTCATTGACACAAATCTACTTGGTTAGTACTTGGATTGTGCCTAATGCTAGAGAAGCTTCACGAATACATCCAGAGTGGGACATTGGTCATCGGCCTCCAGTAGAGCTAATAGTATGGCACATCCGTAGACTACCGAGTAATACTGACGCACACCCCCGAATTGGGAGCCGTCATCAATTCCTACATTCGCTATACCATCTCTTCAGGACTGGGCATAACTCCGTTCATGAAACGGTTGTGGCACAACCTCCCTCCGGTCTAACACTCCTTGCGGCGCGCTATATTGATCAAACTGATGCTCTATTTGGAGTGGAGCTATCCAATCGAGTCTTATATCCGCACTGCTAATGGGTTACTCACGTTATACTCAATCAAGTCTAAAGAAGCCTAGAACCATCAGTATACGGTCTCCAGAGAAATGCACAACGAGCCCCGAATGTCTCCTTGATCACTACCCTCCATGTCGTGACGCCCGTTTATAGCCTTAGGATCCAGTATGTGAGAATCTACGGTCGGTATGAAAGTAGCATTGCGAGACCAGCAGGAAGCTGTTTGTGGAGTGTTTTGGTTTGCCTCTGGGGATCACACCCCATATTGCAACGCTGCGCAAGAGGCATCCTGGGCCCCTGAAAATAACGCATCGCCCATGTCGCTAGTGTGTCTTACAGATGACCTCACATACCTGATCTGCCCAGAAAAGGAGAGGCCTCATGCTCCTTGTCCTACGTGACGTGTGACATTCCTCGCGAGAGCTCTATGATCTATCCGTAGTAGGGTTTCTTATAATGCTCCGGGTGAATAGACTTGCTACTTATGGCATTTCTTTTTGTTTCTTTCTTTTTTTTCTTTTCTTGTTCTTTTTATATTATTTTTTTTATTTTTTTTATTTTTCCTTGGTGGTTTGTTTGGTCTATTTTCTTCCTACGATGACTATACTAAATATACCCCTTGTCCTTAATACCCAACGTGATGCATTCCGTAGGCAGCTACAATAGCAAATATATATTTCAAAATATCCCAAACACAACGCACAAAGAAAACTAAATCTAGAGGAGACTTAAAAAAAAATAAACAAAAATTCCACTTGAATGAAATGTATCATGAATTTTTTATACGATTTCTCCAAGAAGAACCAACGAAAGAAGTACAACCCAGACTCATCATTGTTGATTGCTGTCCAGAAACAGACAAGCCGGGACCGGAAACTCGAACCACCGCCCTGTCGGCAACAGCCGACATGGCAGGCCGGTACCGGGATGTCTTTATTAGCAGGACCCTATGAACACGATTCTATTACTACTACATATTAGCATTGAAATTATCAAAATAAAAAGCACCTTCGCCTTGGTACATCGTAATTAATCTTCTTTAGCGAAATGGCAGGTGATGAGCGGATGATAACATTGGCCTAAGGCACCAAGTAATTTAGGGAGTTACTGAGGCAAAACTCCTCCGTAGATCCTGTACTATATTGTATACAATCTTGGAGGTTCACTACAAGCTAATGCGGCTTCCATGCCTGTGTACATAGAATTTAATATGTGCATAAAAACTACATATATACCATGTCACTGAGCAATATACTTACATCTATCTCGTCTGTATTTATCTGTTATGCCGTATTTGGTAGTTAATCAGAAAGTAAGCTTGCGGAGATTGTGGTCCTATCTCCGTGCCTTTTTCTGTTAATATTCTCTCACCGTGGTGCCATCAACATTCATCTCCCCCGATACTACATTGTCAGTCTGCCAGGTTTAGAGTGCAATCGATTGTTTGAATAGAATGGATGATCAAGATAATGCGATGTAAGCGATGAACTTATGCTCAACAGTGCTGCCACGATAGCATCCCACTAACGCTTCGAAAGGCCATCGAAACGGAGCAAGAAAGCTTGCACCGAGTGCAGGCAGCAAAAGGCGAGTCATCTAGTACCAGGCTCTCCATTTTACTCTTATACTATGAAGTTATCTAAAATGACCATAACTACGAAATTTTACTAATCCTGGCGTCTCTAGGCTCGATGCGATGCATACCTTAACCCTGATCGGCCATGCACCAGGTGTGTCAAGATGAAAGCACAGTGCATAATCTCCGATCCATTCCGGAGAGAACACAAACGCCAGTGAGTAGGCAAAGGGGCTTTCTTAGCATCAGAAGTCCATACAGAGATTGACTGGAAAAGACGACTTTCAGAATTGGAACAGGAGACAGATGAGTTGCGGAAGAGATTGAGGTCTTCACAAAGTGCTCTCCCTCAGCCTTCACCTATCGCCATGCTGACAG